AATTGGTTTATGAAGACAGTGTTTGTGTCTTGTGTTAACACTGTGTACATCCACATTCATCTGAAAATGTTCTTCGTTATTTGTAATGAAGTTTATTAATGAATATATATATTCACAAGGCAAAGTTGAGATCTGTAGTCTCTTAAATAGATTTCTACAGAAATTACAGGATTTGACACCCATCATGATTCTAACAATTTTCTTTTGCAATGTAAATACCTTTTTACTGTCAGATGAATTACCCCAGAAAATTATTCCATACTTCATTAAAGAGTGAAAATAAGCAAAATAGATTGATTTGGGAGTGTCAATGTTACTAATATGTAACATGAATCTAACTGCATAACATGCTCTACTTAACTTTGAAATCAACTGATCAATATGGTTTTTCCAGTTTAAATGATTATCAGTTTGCAAGCCAAGGAATTTTGTGTTCACTCCCTCTTCCATATATACATAATTATATCCTATGTTTAATGGCAATTGTGGTGAGTTTTCTGTTATAAATTTTATTACATTTGTTTTTTCTGGGTTGAGGGACAGCTTGTTTGCAGAAAACCATTTACTCATTTGCGAAAGAACATGCAGGAATCATCTAACTTTTTACCAGAAATTATAACACTAGTGTCATCTGCAAATATTATAGGTATTGATGAGGTCCTTAATGTAGGAGGGAGGTCATTTATAAAAATTATGAAAAGCAAAGGCCCCAAAATTGACCCCTGTGAAACTCCATGTTTTATTCTTCCCCAGTTTGAATAGGTATTTTGGATTGAATTTGATGATTTTATTCGAATCTTTTGTTTTCTGTTTGTTAGGTAGGATCTGAAGCAACTTAACGTTGTTCTTTGAATGTCAAAAAAATGTAACTTAGTTAATAAAATTTCATGATTTACACAGTCAAAAGGCTTTACCAAGTCACAGAATATTCCACCAACTTGCATTTTTTTATTAACAGATTTCAACATACTGTCTGTTAACTTAAAGGCTGCATTTTCAATGGAAATTCCTTTCCTAAAGCCAAACTGTTGAGCCATGTTATGGCTCTTGGATGATGTCATGCCTTCCAGCCATGTTAATCCCTACCCCTTCATCCCGTGCTGGNCTGTTCTGGGATTAGTATAATGTTACTCTGAAAATAATGGCTTAACCTATTGTATATAACTTTTTCAAGTACTTTAGAGGAAGTAGTTAGCTTCTAGTTGGCCTGTAGTGTGACATACTAGTCTTGTCCCCTTTTTTATATAGTGGTCTTACTACTGAAATCTTAAGACAGTGAAGAAAGATTCCCATTGATAGTGAGTGATTACAGATGTGAATGGGCTACTGATTAGAGATGAATGAACTTTAAAATTTTACTTGTTATTCCATCATAACCTACATACATACTTTATTTCACTTCCATAAATCCTATCAGGAGTTACAAACTCATGTGGATGTGGAGATCGTCTTGGTTACAAATTTGGCACAAGATACAAACTTGTTTTTGTTTTGAGGGAATGTATTATACTTTTTATTTCAGTTTCAGTGGTTGGAATGGTTTTAATACCAGGGAATTTTCTAGGAAATGCCTCTCTTAAAAGTGAAATGACAGGGAATTTTCTAGGCAATGCCTCTCTTAAAAGTGAAATGACATTGTCTCCCACTTCCTGATGCAAGTTTAGATTTTCTGTAATTCTTAGAAAAAAGTACTGAAGGCATCTGCAATTTCTCCTGGGTCCTCAAATTTTTCATCATTTATAAGGATAGATGGTATGTGTTCAGTCAGATGTGATTTTCCTGCCTCATGTTTTATTATATTCCAGGTTGTTTTTATCTGATTATCCAATGTTGCTATAAGCCTACAGTAATGCTGCCTTTTAGCCACTTCTGTAACTCTACTTAGGATTTTGCAATACCTTATGTAGTATGCTCTCATGTAGGGATTATTACTGTTCCTGCCTGAAAAGTTGAAACAAGATCAGCTGAAGATAGTATGTGAAATATTGTATCATTATGGTAAACATGTGCCCACGGTTTTGATCTGAAAGGAATGTGGTGGGGGTGTGGTCTGCAATCATTAGGTTCAGAATAGTGATAAATGCAAGTCTCTTATGAAAAAGGTAATAAAGCTATGGATTCCACTCCTTAACCAGAACCCTGAGTGGTGCTGTTACCTTCCTGAGCAACAGCAGCTTCTCATCCTTCAGAGTCTTCTCAAACACAGTTTCGAGTCTGAAGCCATTGCTGACCACACTCTCTGTGTCAACTTTCTCACGAGCCAGGAGGCAGGCCCCATCAGCCAGGGCATTCACCGCAGTCTGCAGCAGTTCTCTATGAAGCAGGATGTTTGATGCAATAACCAGTGTGCAATTCTGCTCTTCCCACAGTTCATGTTCTTCAACCTTGATCCCTGTCATGTCCAGGTCTGTCCCTGACAGGTCACCTGCCTTTGCCAGGACTGTTATGTCTCCCTGTAAATTTCAGAACCATACAAATAAGCTCAACTGCTGTTATTACTGTAGCCCTTTCTACCCTTTCTTTGAAATGAAGGTTAAATTTGAAAAGGCATAACAATTAACACTGCAAAAATATAAATCGTCAAGTACTGACCAAATTCTGGCAGAAATGACCAAAGAACTTGGAATGTCCCTTTTATTGTAGGTTCTTACTTCCCCTGTCAGTTTCCATTCCTTGAAGCTCTCAATAGAAATGAAGAGTGAGGCTGTGAATACCCCATGACTGAAGCTTAAGTGACACTGCATTCCACACTGTTATACTTGCCTTTGAAAGCGGCCTGTCTGCAAGGATGAGGGCCACAGTAGGTGCAAGAGGTGTGGAGCCTTGGGTGTGCAGCTCCACCACTTTCATCTGGGGGACCGGCTGGTTCTCCAAAGTGATATGCACGCACACCCGCAATGCGGTGTGTAAGTCCAGGTGTTCAGGCTCTACATTCTGTGTCAACACATATTTCTCTAGCACAGGTTTCCTCAGGGGCTTGTGCCGAGATATTTCACTTGCTTTCAGCCCTCGAAATTCCACACCTGCTGACTGGATGATGTTCAGCTCCTTGTAGACAAGCACTGGGACCACTGTCAAAACAACAAAACAAAAAACTCCATTGCCTGTAGCCCACAAGTCAAGTGAACTATACCGACTTAGAGACCGCCACCTGTCGGCGTAGTTAGTGCCAACTTTTGCAGATAGAGGGTGTCACATGGTCAGCACAACGGGTCCCCATGGACATTAATCTTGGTTTTCTAGACCAACACCACTATTTCCTTGACACAGCTCCTCAATTATCCTCATAAGGCTGAGTGGACCCCTTTCCAGACTCACTACTTCTCAGAAAATCTGGTAGCGTCAGGAATCGAACCTGGGACCTCTGCCTCTGTAGCCAGGAACTCTGACCACTAGACCACAGAGGCAGCCAAAATAACATTCATCATTAAACTCACAAATACCATCAAATGCAACCAATAATTTAATTGACGAGTATTCATATTGTTCAACTTGTTTTGGCCCGTGGATGATCTTCATATGCAGTCAAACAAGCTTAAAAGAATAATTTAGAGTCAGACCATTACTTAAATATACACTCTTTAAAATTAAGTCACTGATCTCTAAGCTTAAAGTAGTACTGCCAATTAAAATCAAAATGGTATAGGAAGAAAATGAAGGGTAAATGCAGAATCATTCACATCCTATGCATTTAGTTTTTATGTGGTGTCTGTTTAAGCATACATTGCAGCACTGTCCCTCAGTGGAAGTCTGTGTTCTGTTGGACTCAGCTTCACTAAAAATGTAGCAAAAGAGTGCCAAGATACATTGTGATACATATATATCACCACCTGTATTGTAGATTGAATGTATCCTGATCTCCGACTGAAGTTCATATTGAAGTAGTGTACACAGCATACAGCATCTATACCCATAATTCTAAAATAGAATTTGATTGCCTCTTTTGTTTCACTCATTTTGGAAGTGTGCAGGACAGACACTCAAACTAAGACTGCCTAAGTGATGGCACTACATATTAAAATGCATGCAGCAGCAAAGTGCAAGATGCTTGTAACATCTCACTACTCAGTACCAAAGTTCAACAATGTCATGTAAACTCAACTGAACCAACTCACCAACTTCACTGTTCTTACTGCTAAGTTTCTGGACTTCAGCAGCATGCTGCTTAGGGTCTATGGTGAGTTTCTGGAGTGAAGTTGGAAGTGAGAGATCTCGTGAATCTTTTCCAAAGATTTTCATTTGCAACACACTGTCAAGGAATGCAATCCAGTTGTCTTTCCAGCAGACCTTTCCTGTATGACCTGCACAGAACAAGTATACATACCATGTACAGCAGGCAAGATAAGTTCTCACTTCATACNTCTCATTTCAAACCTCATAAGTCACTGCACTTTCGATAACAAAAGCAGGAGACAGCCAGACTCCAGTCTTGCAGTCTTGAGGAGACAAATCTCCCAGAAGCCTTTTTTAGTTTCAGAATACAGGGTTATCAAAAAATATGTATGTTTTAAAAAATTTATATCTTTTACAATATGGAACAAAACTCAAGATATCCTCTTTAGAAACTCTTAAAATATGTCATACTTTAATGTCTTGATGTGAGCACAACTTGTAACTCTACCAACATTCAAGCAGTACTCTATTTCTGGAGACAGGAATTAGCTCCATTGATTGAGCCCAACTGAGTACACTTGACCTCTGGATGGTCTCCAAAATGTTTTTATTTTGAACAAATAAATAAAAATGATGTCCAAATATTCAATCACTGTATTATATCAGGATATCTTGGAGATCAGGCTACTGATCCAACTCCTCCAATCTACAAATCTGGAAACCTAGTGCTAAGAGCAAGGTGAAGTTGTAGGCTGAAATGAGGTGAAGTTAGAAGGCAACAGCACTTGTGTTTTCTCTTTCAATGTTGACATAAATGCAGTTGCAAGGCAAGAAGTGAGAGAGTCTGAGTTCAGCCTTAACTGAATGTGGACATCTAGAGCAGACACGAAAAGTGCATGTGGTGAATTTCAATTATATTCAGAGAGAAGATGCACAAAGAGGGCAGTGCAGCTGTGTATGGTGGAACAGAAGTTGACAAGACGTAACTGACATCAAGGCTGTAAGAGGGAAATGGCAGTGAGAAAATAACTATTCCAAGTAACAAAAAACATTACAATATAAAGAGGGATATCTGAAAATGTGGCAAATTACAAGTACTTAGGAATGACAGTAATAATAAAAATTATATGAAATATTCATGGCAAAATTACTAAATTAGGGAATATTTCCTACAGTTCATTTTAGAACCTCCTGTCTTTTCATCTACAATCTAAGATATAAATATTAAATTATACAAACTAATATCCTATTCATTTCTGTATTAAGAACTATGGGGTATGCAGTAATGTAGTTGGTTGGGGCACTATGCTATAAAGTGGAAGGTCATGGGTTCGAGTCCAGATGAGGTGGATTTCTTTAAATTTACCTAATGCTTCCAGCCTCACTATGACCTTGGGGTTGACTCAGCCTCTAACAGAAATTAGTACCAGGAATATTCCTGGGGGGTAAAGGGCGGCCAGCACATAAGGCTGACAACCTTACCACCATCTGTTAGCAGATTGTCTAGATGTTGTGGGTGCTTCAACCTCTCATAACCTTATGAGCCTTCATGGCAGTTGCAGGGATAACTTTACCTTTTACCTTTTTTATTAAGAACTGTTTCCTACCATCACTGCACAAAGAGCAGTTGTGGGATGCAGATTAAAAAGGTGACCACTTTACATGATGCCACATGTATCAGTTTTCAGATTCTCACAGTGATGAGTGTCAGACTGGACTTCTGGGCAGTGACATTGCACAGTCTTGTAAGTGGACAGTAATGTCTTGAGAGATATGATGCCTCCATCGTCAGGGTAGGATGAAGATGTAGGTGGGTTATGTAACCTACCTACATAGCCTGACCATATTCTCAGGTTGTTCATTTTGACACTGGAGATTATAAGAGAATGATGAATAAACATGGAGAACAAACAAACAGCTGCGAGGCAGCAAGGCAGTACAGTGTCATGCAGCAAATATTTCAAGGTGGAAACAACAGATATTCCAACTCCATGGGAACATGAATATGTGTGCTGATTCAAAGGCAAGATGGGTTTAGTGCAGCATCAGTATATTTCATGAGCAGCAGAAGTTGGAGCCAATTACAGAATGGAATATATAAATTATGTGGCAATACAGACTGTCTTTACAGCAAAGAATGTCATTTTGCAAGAAGTATCACCACATATCAAGGCAGTGCTGATGAAATGCTATTGTATTTCAACATTCTATCCAATTCACCGCTGATGACATAGGTGCAAAATGTATTGTCTTAAAAACGTTAGGCAATGAGAAGAGTGACTGTAATGTTGACAGCTGACAGACAATACCGAACTACCATCATGTTATACTGAACCAAAGAACTGCCTAAGGCACAGCTGACTGTTGGATTAATGATCACATGTCAAACTGAAAGACAGCTGGCTCAGAAATGAACTACAAGTTATCTGGAACAAGAAAACAAATGTATTGTTGAGAAAACGATGAATGCTTGTGCTGTATGCATCAGAGGTTATTTAATATAGAATGTCAAATGTGTGTTTCATGCAGTGATTAATAACTTTGTTGTCATACATGGAAGGATGTTCTCATGTACATAGGCAGTACTTGACTTTCAGATGCTCAACATTCAGACAATTTGTTCCTTCAGTGTTGCATTTTAGCGTCCTGTTGCACTGATTCATATTCATAATGTGTATATGTATGTTCCTTCAGACATTATAAACTGACATCCTTAAATCAACTTTTGGATGCAGTCCTTGGTCTTTCAGTCATCGAAAGATGAATGTGTCAGTCATTGTATACCACTCAGCCTACCCAACAGCAGTTCCAGCAACTTTGCTATCTTTCAGTGCATTCTGGCATATTTTCTAAAAATTAGTGGAAAAGGAAAGTGAAAGTGCTGTTACTAGTGATATGAAGTTTAGGTATCATATCTTAATTAAATTGAGAAAAAGCTTGAAATAATTAAGCATGCCAAAACAGCAAGTCTTTAGCCTCAACTGGACACTCAGCAGACTTAATAAAGTCAACTGTGTATTCAGTTGTGATGGGAAAGAATAAAATTAAAGACCATGTACAAAATGCTGGAAATATGCAGTTGACAATTATGACAAAGGATGATGGGAAGTGACTGAGAAGTGCAAATATCTTTAAAATTATAGATTGAGGACAAACATAAAAGGAAAACAACATTACAGTGAGTGTTTCAGTCATTCAACGTCAAGGAATGAGCTTCTATGATTACCGGAAGAAGTATTAGATTGAAAGTGCTACTAATGCAACAGAATTGAATGCAAGCAAAGACTGGCTCAGCAGGTTCAAGAATAGTGTTACGTTGCATAGTATTAGATCAACTGAGGAAATTACTACTGCCAGTAAACAAGCTGCACTAGAATTTACTGATGTGTAGCAGTGCAGCTGGTGACTTTAAAATTAGATCCATGCTGCTCTACCATTCAGAAAATCCTAGAGATCTGAAGGGGAAGGCTAGATGAATATTACAATTCATTTGGAAATCTAGTTCAAACATGGGCTGCGCCATAGCTCAAGTGGTTAGTTTCTGGCTTCCCACCGCGGCGGTCCGGGTTCAATTCCAGGTCTGGTCAAGTGGGATTTGTGGTGGACAAAGTGGCGCTGGGGTGGGTTTTCTCTAAGTACTTCAGTTTCCCCTGCCAATCTTCATTCCACCAAATTTTCCATCATCATAATCACATGGGGCAGGCAACAATAGGACAATCAGTGGCCGCTGTGCTGAGTGGACCCAGTTGGACTCCACCCCCACTATGCAAATTAAGAAAAAAAGTTCAAAACATGAGTTAATGGAACAAATCAAGGCTTTTTTAGTATTAATTTTGTTTCAGCAGTTAGACAATACTGCAGCAGCAATAATATAGCATTCAAGGCATTGTTGGTTTATTGTTGTTCTACTGTCATATGTATGAGTGACTCTAGATGGAGCCTGAATTGGTAATGAGGTTTACTGATCACTTATGGATTGCAACTAAATGTAACTATAACAGTCTCACAGAATTACACACTGCAAACATCACTGTAACTACAGTACACATAAAGTTTTCTCAGTCTACATTAGTTAATTCATGGCAACGGATTTTAACACAGCAACAACAATAGTCTCATTGACTTATGCACTCCAAATACCACTGTGACTACAGGGCACATAAAGTCTTCTTTATCTTCACTAAACGTTTTCTGGTAATGGGTTTTAACACCAGGGATTCATCAGCTTCTGTGATAACTGCAGTGATTAAGTCTTCTCATAACAGATTCCCTCACACTTCTCCCAGTGTTTCAACTGACTAACTCCCAGGCTGGTCGCCATTTCACACCAATCTCCTAGTCTTCTTTTCACAGCCTGACTTTCAACTGACAACTCCCAGGCTGGCAGCCATTTTCCACCAACCTTCTAGTCTTCTCTTTAGAGCCTTACTTTCAATGGAGCAATCTTGCAAATCGCTGGTTGCCCCCGACAGTTCTGATTATAACATCTTGGCATGGACTGCACAGAAAGCACTATTCCTCTATTGCTTGTTCAATTGTTGTCATTCAATTGTCATTTATCTAACATCTGATGCCTAGTAACAGACGTTCTGTTGTCTGTTTCATGGCCGTTATCTAGAAAAGAATTTTGTTGCAAAGCCTTTTGTTAGCAACGGCTGTTTCTCTCGCTGCACAGCTCTTACTTTGAGCAAATATGCCACATTATCTATAGTAGAGCACTGTCTTCTTTGTCTGTCTTATTCAGCTAAATGTCTTTTCACGATCAGTCATTCTGTGTATTAAATACGTCAGGTATGTATTCCTCTACATTTGCTGCTTTGATGAATCATAGTTATATTCACTAGCCAGCCATTTTGAGTGACAGCATTATGATTTACACAAGAAACGTCAACATATTCACTGTTCATGCAATGCTGCCAGCGTGCTATTCAATCATGTCTGCTTACAACTGTCACACTATCTGTGATGCTGAATATATTTTTCTTCTCTTAAATTGTCTCTTTTCCTGGCACACTCTTAAGCCCCCTGTCTATTTGTCTCATACAGTAGAGGTATGTAGTATAGTTTGTGAACTGGGAAACATATTTTCTCTCATTTGCGCATGGTAACCCTGACTAC